GCAATTTTCATCCAAATTTCATGTGCCATTAATTGCACCGCTAACTGGACAGGTGGTAGCAAAACCACCCAAAAAACAAACACGGCCGCTGTCTTGCTGTTTCCAGGGGAGGGGGCAGTCAAAAGCTGGGTCCGAATATTGTTACGGGTTCGAGTCTAAGCTTTCAACGGAGCTCTTGGCTAGTGGCTCCAGATCAGGACATAACCTAAGACTTTGGTACTTCCGTTTGCTCCACACCTTATTGCCGGAACAGTTTTGAACGAATTGGCTCAAGAGGATGGGTTTCCTTATCTTAGGTGGTTTTAGGTCTGTCAGAGCTCCGCAAAAGTGGGAATGTTCTTTCAACCACTAGGAGATGCTTCTACAATGGAGATCTCCACTGAACACATGTCTTTTTCTTCTTCTACCTTCACACCGTTCCTTCCATTCCCTCCCAAATCTGAATCGCTCCCCTCCAAGTCGTCAAGGTCTTCGGCAACTATGAAGATTCGGTCGAATTTGAAGGAATGGAAGGTAGGAGGTGCTAGTGATTCCTCGAATACTAGTCAGCTAGTTCTCACAGCCACGAAATAATCAGGAAGACGAAGTGATAAATTACTTTGAGCCAGCCATGTTCACCTTCGCTACTGTCCTAAGCTCAGCCTTAAATTTTCGTCTCCTAACCTATAAGGAGAAGTCTGGCACATCCATTCTGGTGTTGCCCGATTTTATACTGGCAGGACAACAAGGAAAACGGGGGGTCATCAGAAGATCCGGTGTGTTCCAATTGTACGAAGGGAATTTACCCCGATCAGAAGGGGCAGAATCGTCGTAAAATCGTCAAGCGAATCTCACGCGACTCCATCTCAGCGGGACGTAGCGATATCAATCGTCATCAGCGTATCCCCCTTCGTGGATCTTGAAATTCCTCCGTCAACCACGTTGGCGATCTCTCTGATATTTTGAACGATTGCCAGGACATTCCCTTTCTCACTTTCCCTTTCGTCGTAGGCGTTAAAGGAATTTCACGAACTCCTTTGATTTATTTTCATCGTCGAACTCTTTGTGCCGTCAAAGTAACATGCTCCGCCTTCCCCCCCCCCCCCCCCCCCCCCCCCCCCCCCCCCCCCCCNGAACGCAATTCTGCGATGATTACTTCTCAGCAGTGCCGTTTAATGTCCCTCGCGACATCAGAGTTGTCGGAGATAGGAATCTACTCTGTTTTTCTGAGTCACCAGAGGACATGATTGAGAAATCGACGAGTTCGCTCGTTTACTCCTCGTTGAAACGTTGTTTGGGATTCGAGGTAGGAGTTGTAAAGAACTGGATTGCAATGGGGGAAATTGTGGAAAGCCGTCTGAAGTATCTGTGGCTTTTCACAAACTCTCCATAGCAAATCCTTACTTACCTTCCGGTGTTCAGACTTTCTGAGTTCCTATGAGCTTCTAAAATCCATCTGAAGGATATCGAATCCTTTTCCTTTCTCACCTCAAAGTAAAAGCAGTGTAGTTCAAAAGAACTAAATAAATAAAATGAAAATAACAATTAAAAATGAATGTGGTTCAAGGCTTTAGTCAGCTGATTAGTGTCCCACAAGATGACCAAGGTGGAACACTTGTTTAGTTGACGGAATGATTCAAACAAAGGCCATTACCTCCACTTAGGCAGCGTATCCGCTGTCGCGCTAGAATTTTGAGATACAAGAGGTCTGAGATGGGAGCTGTTGGTGATTTCTTCAGAAGTGGGGTGTCCAAAAGCTACTCCCTACAAGCTCGAGAGTCAGGCAACAAGCGGCGATCGGAGATCCCGCTTTATAACAAAAACAGGGATGGGAATATGGAACAGAAAAGCAGGAAAGGTTCTTCTGCTATGTATTCCTTCGAAAAGCAGCAATTTCACCTGGATTAGGAAAAATTGGGATCTTCCCGTGACCGCTAACGAATTCAATCAATTCTGCATGACTGCCGTTAAGCTGGTCGGTCTTGGCGATTGGGAAAAGCGGTCCTTCCCAACTATGGATTTAGTAGACCTTTCCGCAGTAAGACGAACACACGGCGCATATCTTAGAGCAAAATATTTAATTCTGTTAAGTTCGCTTGTAAAGATCGAATTAAAGAGGTAGGCCCAAAGTTACAGTACACTAGACTGCTCTACACAGTAAATCTGTCAATAAAGGGTTCTTTTTGTTACGTGTATTCATTATTTATTTATTTTATTACTTATTTATTAGCTATTTATATTTAATTAATACTAAAAATTTTGTATATTTTTATATTGTATACTTTCTCCCGTATTTACGCTCTGTAAAGCCCTCTCCATTGGCAAGGGGCCAAACTGGTGGCGTTGTTGTTGTTGCCTAACGGGCGATGATCCACGCGATGCGACGATGGGACCTTGAAACGGCGACCGTACACGTCAAGTCGTTTCCAACCTTAACTGCCTTTCCGTTGCTGCTGCGTTTCGACCACACTGCCTCCCACCCATCACGTGTGGGTCTCTACCCATTAGATACTACTCGATTACAGGTTACTCGGTTCTAATTATTTTCTATTTTTCCCTCTGAAACCGCTGATTAGCCCCATCAAGGATCGACGACCCGAAAATCCCCGAAGTTCTCGAATTCGGTCACAAGATTATGGCCAAAATTACGATGGTTTTACAGCATTGACCGCTTTGCCCTTTCATTCTACTGCCTCTTTCCGATTCCTCACACAGGAAGGGACACCTCTATTGTTTATTGGTTTATTTATATATTTATTCTACGTTTTCTAATCTCTATCTCTCGAGAAACACCACTCGGGAACCTGTTCACATTCTTTTCGATTCCTTGCTCAGGAAGGGACACCTCTTTTGTTATTGGTCTATTTATATAATTATTCTACGTTTTCTAATCTTTATCTCTCGAGAAACACCACTCGGGAACCTGTTCACATGCTGATGACCAGGTTGTAGGTGTCCCAGTAACAAAGTAGGCCGATTATGACCTGGTAGTAAAGCGTTCTATCTGCTTTCACTCTCATCCCCACGCCTCCCAAGCAACTCTCACCTACTCAACTGATAGGATTGTTACCAATGATTATACTCTGTGATACTCACTAGTAAATGAGAAGAATATCACGTCCATGAAGTACATCTCTCCCATTTGAAGGTGACCGCTTATACAACTAATCGTACACTTACGAACAGTCAACCAGCAAACATGAGCGACCCAAATTTGGCATGGACAAAAAACTTCGTCCTGTTTGTATAGCTCAGACTTACCGTCCCTTTGAAGGACTGACTAGTGCTGCCCATAATTCAGGCCAAAACTCATCCTGGCCGTATCCCACGGACTACCTTTAGCGAGCGATCTCATTAGGGAAGTCAATTCCTACAGTTCTTCATACACAACCCTTCAACGAAAACCGATTTCGTAGCTTCATTATTCTGATCATATTCACTTCACGATCTGTTCGACCGATCCGGAAATCGATCCGGAAATAGAGCCGCTCGGAATTTCTTTGTCAAAATTTTTTTAGTGGCAAAGAAAAACCTACAATTTCGTTCTAAGTGATCACAAACAGGTACAGAAACATCATCAATCACCTCCCACAGGTTATCTTCTCAACAACTAGGATTTTGCTCAGTGCCTTCTGACCTATCTCAGTCTCCCCGGCATATTGTATTTCGACGATTGTCGATTCGCATCCACCCAGAATCTTATCCCGGTTAAAAAGGGATGTAATCATACCAGTGAGGCATTTCCTTCTTGTCTCCTTCTCTTTCTTTTTACTTCAAAGACATTTGAAAGTGTTACATCACATAGAACTGAACGGCAATTGGCTGTCTTCGAAAATACAAAGAGAGGAATTTCCAAAAAAGGATAGGAAAAAACCTAGCAATCAGAGGAAAGATTTTTTTCAAATTCCATGGAATGTTATATGAAGACCTCTTGAACTCCGTTGATTCTTCCCCACTGTGCTGTTTCCATCAGACCAAAGCAGGTTCTACTCCCAAAAGATCAATACGACTGGTAGCATGGTCGCTTTTGCTAGCAACTGTTGGCATACTTCCTCTGGCACCCTATGCCACCCAATACCCAGTTTGATCTTGGGAAAAAGCTCATCTGGGTCAGTTCTCTTTGTAACTCCCAAAACCGTAAGTCGCCCTTAACCCTGCACTCTGCGATTTCGTGTTTTTTTCAATTTAGTTCGCAGTGAAATTGGGCTAATTTCAGCATTTGACTGTCACATCGGGCGCACACAAAGAACCCAAGAATACGGGACACAGCGGGTTCGCTTCCCTCTGAACTTACTCCTGTAGTTGTCTGTAACAGTTTTATTGACTCTACAATAACATCCTTACTGTCGCCCTTCAGGGACC